ATATATATATATATATATATATATGAATTCAACTAAGTAATTTATCAAATATCATACAAATGGCAATTTTCTCCTCAGACATGCCACTTATAATTCATCCCTTTTAGCTACAACTGTAACAATTGATAAAATTAAAGATAGCTTTATGAGCAACAACAACAAAGGATAAACACTGCTCTTCTTGGTCTGTACCAATTTTGGTAAAACTCCACAATCCTTAAGTTTCAAAGATCCATCACAAGGCTTCAAGTCAACAATAAAATTCTCTCATTCTCAAATATAATAGGCTCTATATTTGAGAAGTCGAAAGGACAAAGCTGAGTAATACGAACCAAATTAAACTTATCAATGTTGACCTCCTTTTTGGCATCAGTCACTTACATGGTCTTATCACTTGTATTTGGTAGTTTGATCCACCTTTCTGCACGTTGCACTACTGTGATTGATGAATGGTCAAATTGTGCATTTTACCTCGATCTGTCGCCAGCTTTGAAATTTATTCCTTTTGATCACATATTGTCTATTATTATGTTTGAAAACATATGTGATTAGGTTGACGCCAATTTGATCAGTATTTTGTGTGCATTTGAGCATTTATCGCACATATTTATTTAGTGTGTAAAATCTTTTGATCGGAACCTCGTTTTTTAAAATGGATTGCTCGAGTGCGTCTAACTCGTCGAGATGGATCAAATGAGCCCATTAGTGCTCGAATTGGGTATCATTTGATGCGTGTTTAGGAGAGAGAATGAGATTACTATTATTATTATTTTTTAAGTATATATAATAAACAATATATTTTTTGGTTAATTTAAAATTAAACAACTATAGGAATTTAGATTCAAATTATAATAAAAAATATATAATTAATAGATACATTTAACAATAACAACAATAATATCAAGCCTTTATCCCATTACGTGGGGCCGACTACATGAACCATTTTTTTCCACTGTGTCATGTTAAGAGTCAAATTCTCATTTAAATCTAAAAAAGAAAGGTTATTTCTAATATTTTCTAACCAAGTCTTTTTAGGTCTACCTCTACTTTTCTTAACATAAGCCAAATCTAATACATCTACTTTCCTAATCGGGTTATCGGAAGGCCGGCAACCTAAGCCTGGTACACTCCCCTCGTTTCCTCGATTTCACACGCTCGACCGGACACCTACAACCCTCATAGTTTCTGACCTGCCTAGCCTAATTACCAACAACCCGACTCCCGCTACCCCCAACACACCTCCAATCTGCCTCCTACAACTTCGACCGGTCCAACCACTCACTCCTCCACCCTCATACAACATTTGTTAGATCCACAGCCGATTCATCTACCTGCCACCTTGCCTGCATCTAGATGAACTCCTATCTCTCTCCCTCACCAGCTACAACAAACGACCCCACCTCGAGCTCCCCTCGCCAGCCGACGGATCCAACCACCTGATCCGCCTCCATCCCGACCGGCCCTCCAGGTTGCTGCCGTCCAAATTGATCTAGTCGCTACCCACCCTCCTAAATCTGCCATTCATCGTTCACAAACCAACAGTTCGGCTCCTCAACTCTGGCCGCCAGTTTGCTGATGCTGACCCAACCACCTACTGTTTGTCTTTGGATAACTAAAGACAAAAGATTGAAGTAAAGGTATGATTATGAGCTTTGATTGGTTTATGCCTTATTTTGGAGTTTCCATACATATATTCAATGCGTGGATGATAGGATTAATGCGATATAATAATTTCCCTCTTACGCTGTCTTCGTATTCCTCTGCTATACAATACAATGTAAATATCTTACTCTTTATTAATTCATTATGGTGGAAGTATGAGTGATGCTTCAGTTTTGTTCAGTGGGAAATGTTAGACCACATGCTATTCATTCAAGAAATATATTTATTTGACCCAAAATTTCAGTCTCATTTGGACAATACATATTATTTATACTTGCAAATCTTGTTTGGAGACACCTCGCCATCATTTGATGCATGTTTGTATTGCATTTGTTTATGCAAAAAAAAAAGTGATAG